CGGACAAGTACAAACGGATCGGGGCTCGGTTCGGCGGCATGCACAGCAGTGGAAGCGCAAGGACGACGACGAAGGCCTGGGAGGCCGCAGCCGTAGTTCAGATTTCTGCGCTCTGGCGATTTTCTACTATAAAATGAATCTTTTGCATTTTGTTTTTCTCTGAAATACACCGTAGCGGCTGATCCCCTGCCTATTAAGCCGCTATCTGCCCCCCCTTCTGGTGGACGCACGGAGTCCTCACACCCCCACGAGCACCCGGAGAGCCGCGGGCTGGAGTTCGTTCTTTGCAAGTCTTCATTCTGCTTGCGAATCTGCGGCTTTCATATTTCGTCTTTCAGGGCCCGGGCTAGAGGCATTCCTCCCAGGCTGTCTGTCTGCTGCAGCGGCAACCAGGGAAGCCCGTAGTAAACAGACAAACCCGGAGGGGGAAGGCCCCAGCAGCAGTGGCGGCTAAGGCTCGTTAAAGACACGCAGAACATCATGAGAGAACCCCTTAGAAAGCCAGTTATGCAGCGAACTCGTACGCGCTTGGAGAGGCGACAGTAGCCGCTATTCGTAAGAAACCAATCGGGGGTTGACTGCATAGCTGTCTAGACTCCCGGACGCCGCATAGTCTTCATTGCTAGTGCCGCAGACCAACAGACAGCACTTTATTTGAAGTAGTAAAGGGGGATAACTCGCCTTCGTCGCTCCAATGGGGTCGGGGGAGGTCTCGTCATCTGGGGGCCGCTCCAGCGGCTCCCACTCAAAGGACAAACACTCAAGCAGCAGCAGCAGCAGCAGCAGCAGCAGCAGTTCAAAGAAGCACAAGTCCAGTGGCCACAGCAGCAGCAGTTCGGGTAGCCGATCTACCAACAGCAGCAGCAAGGCCGCAAACGCGGAACGCGACAGCAGCAGCAAGCATAAAAGCAGCAGTCACAGCAGCAGCAACCACGGCAGCAGCAGCCACGGCAGCAGCAGCCACAGCAGCAGTAGCCACAGCAGCAGCAGCCACAGCAGCAGCAATCATGGCAGCAGCAGCCACAGCAGCAGCAACCACGGCAGCAGCAGCA